CAGTCGGCTGATAGCAGAAATCGGTCGACCAATGAGTGTCCACAGTGATTTTCCCGAAAGTTGCACTCTAAAAAGGGCGTTTCGGTGGACTAGTACTGTACATCAGCCAGCTGATGATTGAGTTTCAGTCCGCTGGTACTGTACATCGGCTGGCTGATCCTCCCTGGAGCTTGGTTTCCTTTCAGCTTCTTGGACAGATTTCTTAGGTCAACTTCAGAGGGTCATATCTCCTTTTTTTCTAATCCAAATCAGGTCGTTCTTAAGTCTAAATTCAAGAGATTGAAGTTAGTTTTCCAATGATACCAACCACACTCAAAAAGTCCAACCATAGTGAGAGTTACACCAGTTTTAGTAAGATAGGGTCGTGGTGTCTCTTAAACGGAGGATGCCTCTTCGTTCTTTTTTCATATATTCTTCGTCCGGACTCCGAATCAAGTGATTCTTGAGTCTAAATTTATTAATTTTTCGTTGCCATTCCAATGGTGTGTATAGTAGCACTCATTTCTAGGTGAAATGACCATTTTTCTCTTGGTCCATTTCTTGTAGGGTTTTGGAATCCTTGTTTCCTTCTTGCTTCCGTTGAGCCTCGGGCCTCCTCAAGAAGACACTTTTGTGTCTTAGGGATGATATATATCTCTAGAGGCCATGTTTATTTTTAGCTTCCGCATTTTGGATCCGTTTCGGGTCATCTCAGGACACACTGGGTTTGTAAAAATTCAGGGTTGTTGATGAGCTCTGAAAAGTACACTTTTAAACCCTTTAAGCTTGAGTGTTCTATGACCTTTATCTATCTTATTTACCCGTTTTAGTACTTATTTGTGTTTTTGTCTATTTCAGATCAATAATTTTAAAATGGGCTAAAAATGGATTCTTAAGGCCTTTTTGGAGTCAAACTAAGTCTTAGTGATGATCCGGAGCAAAAAGAGGCTGATTTGGAGCAAAAGGAGGCCAATGCTGAAAAACTACCAAGTTAGATCGATCCAACTTTTTCTCTGATTGATCCAACTTCTCTGATCGATCTAACTTTTTCTCTGATCGATCCAACTTTTTCTCTGATCGATCCAACTTCTCTGATCAATCCAACTTTTTCTCTGATCAATCAAACATTGCTAGCAGCGAGCTGTCTTATTCCGTGCCTGCCCAAAAGTCCACCTATCACATAGTACGGGATTAGACATTTTTGGGGCTATATTCCTGACTTAGTGACTAAGAAAAGGACCTTCTATATAAAAGGAAGTGACCCATTTGTAAAGGAGCTTTTTATCTTTTTTATTTTTACATTGTAATTTTTATTTCTCTCTCTAGCAAAGTTAGAGATTAGGGTTAGAAAAAAAGAGGGAAGTGGAGGCATATCTCAAGATCCATCTCTAGACCACTCTCTCTCTCCATCTCTAGAGCTTCAAAGAATAAGAAGAAGAAGAGGAAGAAGAAGATGGAGCCATATTTGGAGCTTGATTTCATGACCACATCTACCTCCTCTATGATTGGCTAGATCTACACTTAGGGCTTAGATGAGCCCTAAGTCTTGTGTAATCGAAACCCTTGTATTTCTATTTTTGGGGATCTAAATATATATTGTTGTGATTAGTGCTCTAGCCTTGTGAATTTCATAAATTTTGGTATATTTTTATGATTTCTATGGTTTAATTCTTCCTATTAATTCTCTAGTTTATTTACATGTCTATGTGTGATTAAATTAGGAATTATTTCTTACATAATTCATATGGATTAATTCTTTCTATTGATTCTCTATTTGATTACATGTTGTCTTATGTGTGATTATTTGGGAATTAATCTCTACACTAGTTTTTCTATATTAATTGCATGTCTATGTGTGGTTGATTGAAAATCTAGTGATAGCTAAGCATGAGTTTTCATTGAATGGGTTTACCAATTAATTTGATGGTTTATACTTATGCTTGATGGGTTGTTCTACAATTTAATTCATGCTTGTAGGTAGGTTGACAATCTATGCTTGCTTAGATATTCCATGGCTTATTATTGCAAATTCCATGATTCTCTAGATTGATGTGTGCTACAATTGTTGCTACTTAGATGGGTCATACTTAAAATTGATGTGTTGTGCTACACTTAGTTTAGATAGACAATTCATACATAAATTAGATGGTCCATGCTTAATATTGCAAATACCATGATTCTCTAGATTGATGTGTGCTACAATTGTTGCTACTTAGATGGGTCATGCTTAAAATTGATGGGTTGTGCTACACTTAGTTTAGGTAGACAATTCATACATAAATTAGATGGTCCGTGCAATTGGTAGTCGCATTTTGTTCACAACAATGTATTCCCCATTAATGAAAAGCAAGTGGTTAATTACACGAGCTTAGTGGTGATTCCAACACCCTAAGTCCTCTCTTCATATCTCTTAAATCCCTATCTCTAATTAGTTTTATTTCACTTTCATTTTAATTAATTGTTTTCTAGTTTAATCAACCAATCTCTATCTTTTGTAATCTTGTGATACGCTAGAGTTGAAGTTAAATTCCAACACGTATAATCCCTTGGGACGATCCCTACTCACTCTTGTTACTTTAGTAGTAGTGTTGGTAGTGGTTTTTATAAATTTAAACTTGACCCAAAAGGCTTTTCCTGAACCACACATTCACTACATTATTTTGGCGTATATCAAGCGGCCTCGTTAGTTGTCACAGCTTCGATGGATCGAAGCTTACTTCGATGGATCAAAGCTGATGTGGCATAAATATCTTGACAACTAGCAACCTTATCCACTAAGCTAGCACCACCTTCACTTCGATCGATCAAAGATATTATCGATTGATCGGGAATTCGTTCGATCGATCGAAGACTGTCCAGTGCAGTTTTTCTGACTTTTTCTGAATTTTCTTCTTGACTCCGAAAAGGGGCTAATAGGCTCTTTTTAGCCTATTTGAACCTTATTGATCTGAAATAGATAAAAACACAAATTATAACTAAAACGGGAAAGTAAGATAGATGTATAGACTAAAATACCCTAACTTAGGTACTAAAATGTGCAACATTTGAGCACTTCTCACAAACCTTTTCAATTTCTTCTCAATAGCATGAGAAATAGAGGCAGGAAGGGAAGAACAACATACCAATATGCAATTAGACGAGTGAGCACAGTCCTAACAAGCTCTACTCTACCTACAAGAAAGAGCATTTTATTAGTCCAGGAGCCAATCTTGGAGTTAATTTTGTCCATAAGTGTTGAACAGTTGTCCTTCTTGAGAACCGCATCACTTAATGAAATTCTAAGATACTTGATTGGAAACTGTCCTTCTCTCCTGAACCTCCTCCTACTCCTAACATGTTTAGCAAAAAATATTTGAGACTTGCAAGCATATTCTTGTAACCCCGAGACTTGATAAAATTGTCCCAAAACTTCTTTCAATTCTTTAGCAGATGACACATCAACATTAATCACTGACAACATATCATTAGCAAATAAAAGGTGGCATATCTCTGAATTGGCTTTCTCTACAACTCTAGACACCTTAATACCTCCACTCCTCACTTCATTTTGAAACATAGTAGACAAGTACTCCCCTACAAGAGTAAAGGGGAAATAGGAAACCCTGCCTCTATCCCTTAGAAGGTTGGAAGTATCCCTTAGGGGACCCTTTCACCATCAAAGAAAACTAAGCAGTTTAGAGATACTCTCTGATCCAATTAATCCACATATCCCAAAACCCAAACTTCTGAAGTAAGAGCCATAAAAACTCCCAAGACACAGAGTCATAGGCTTTAGATAAGTCAATCTTTAGAGAGATAGCAGAGTAATTAGCCATGTTGAATTTCTTCACCAATTCATTTGACTACTCTAGCCCCACCAAAGAAAGTGAAATTGTAGTCCTCTAGGCAACCTCATCACCTCATCAATAGTTAGTTGTATACATCACGCATTGAGAAACCTAAAAGGTTTAGGCCCATAATTATTAACATCAAAAGTAGGGAGGATTAGAGCTCCATGATTAAAGATTTTCATTGTCTCCACAGTAGCTTGAACAGTGGTAAACTTGTGTAGCCAGGTAAAATTAGCTACAACTCTATTCAGCCTAACGTATATCCTCCTTCCTACATGCCTCATGTTACACCAAGTCCACATAACACTCTTAGTAACAACATCAACAAGCCCAGCATCTATTAAACAAGAGTTAAACTCATCCAATACAGTTTGAGGGAATTTCTCCACCCCCCCCCCCCCACTTCTCACACTACATTCTGATTATGTTCTAATCCCCCATGGTTATCGAAGCATCATTAACCAAGCATGCATACTAACTTAGAACATCCAACAAACTTCTCATCTCTACAGCTATATTAAATACTTAAATAAAGGAAAGATAGAAGCTAATAACCTGTAACAATTAAGTAACTTTCAGCAACATGGCCAGACCATCCTCATGGATAACATCAACTTGAAACACATCGAATCCCACCCACACCAAATACGTTCTAATATATAAGACTTATAATTTGTACACCATCTCCAATTGCCAGCAATCTTCTGAGCAATTTTACCAAACCTCACCTCACGAACTCTAGTTTCCAAAAGACATAACAAATGTAACTTCAAAGGGCAAATCAAATGTTTGAGTTTTATCTACATTTTAGGCCTATTAAGGCCTTTAACATTTCAGGAACAGATTATTGAGGGGGGAGACTAGGGTCACTGCCCCCTCCTTTATTCCTCATCACCCTATTTGTGAACACACCACTAGTCTGTTTAGATATCTTTTTGCTAGTTTTACCCTTTTTAAACCCCTTTTATCTAGTCATTTGATCCCCTTGGCACGTAAGGTTATCCTTTTGTGCCTTAGAAGCTTCCTCTCTCACTCGGGTTTCCAAATAAACATCTGGTCTACACACCCCAAACCCTTCCTCTAGACTCATGACCCTTGTCTGACCTTCATGAATGATAATATAATCATCCTCAGCTTGTTGAAGAGCCCCCTCTAAAGTACCACCATTACCCTCACCAAGCTTACACCCCCTTAAGGAAAATTCAATCTCCCCTCATTGGCCTCAATTTTATCCACCATAGTAGCAGTGTCAACAATACCACCAATAGAGGGAACCATACCTCCACCAAAAGCATTATTATCATCCCCCTCCTTGGTATCTACCACATCACCCGCTACAATGTCATTAACAACTTCACCACTAGCGTTGAGTACTGTAAAAGGATTGGAGGTAGAGACACCAGACACATTACCTACTTTACCTTGCCGACTCAGTGTAGGCATAAACATAAGCATCTGGTCTACATCATCACATTCAAACAATTTTCCCTTATGTTTGACCATGCATCGATCCACGATTTTTGTAGATTTGTCCTAAAGAACTTTTTGAGGACATTGATCCTCTTTGTGATCAACTTGCTTGCATAAAGAACATAACACCAATCTCCATTCATATTCAAAACTAAGTATACAATCTTCACTAAGGAAGTCAACCTCTAACATATCAGGAAGCTCAACTTTTATATCAATTTCGACTATAACCCTAACAAATCCCCCTTGATCCCTATGGAGAGTTAGATTATCCATGTATATAGGTTGTGCAAATGAGGAACATACCTTAGAGACCACCACTGCATTACGAAAATGTATTGGTAAATCATAAATTCTCATCCAAATTGGGATTGTCTTCAACACATCCTTCTCAAACTTAACATTCGTGATCCACTTCCTAATGATGATCAGACGTCCTTCAAAGGTACGCATAACGACCCAAACCTGGGGGTCCGAATCATTAACCGGGTCCCTACCGAACCTGAGGTCTTCCAAGGGGAAAACGATCATTCCATGTCATTAGGTCCTTTGCTACATTATAGTCCATTAGAAGGTGTGGGTATGCGAGGGTGTGTGTGTGGTTTGCGGTTGCATAATGTATTCCATGCATTGCATTGCTTGAAAATGATGGTTATGACTACTTGATGATTTAAATGGTTTAATTGAAACCCCTAACATAATCCCGTTTACATTTCTCTATTCTTTGCGTGTAAAGCATGTCATTATTTACCTTGCTTGAGGAAATGCCACTTAGGCAATCTCTACTAGGCCTTGTGTCCATTCCTTTACATTTTTCAGGAAACGAAAAAGAAGTAAAGGACGACCTACAATCTCATCTTTGGACCAATTAAGGACCTATTTTGTCGAGTTGATGATTAGTCAATTCCGAAACGTGTTATTTTTAATGTAAATTGGACCTTATAACTAAACATGTACTATTTTGTAATCAAACTCATAGTATTTTGATAGTTTTGTATATGATGATTGATGTAATTGTTTTGGGTAGAAATGAGGTCGAGACCTAATTTTTCCTCTTTTGAGGTCTCAATTTGATTTCTATACCAACTTAAGGCTTATAGGACATTTGATGATGTATTGAACTCTATTTCATTATGAAGATGTCATTTTGTAATCTCAACAGTATCTTGTAACCATTAAATGATGAAGTGGAATTTATGTTAATGTAACTGGACCTCAGCTATGTTATAGACCATTGGGAGGAATGGGCACAATGCCCAATAGAGATTGGAAAGTACTACTTACGGGAGGCACCCGTAGGTAGTTTTAGCGACTCGTACTAGCTAACTGGACCTCCCAATGGTCATTTGGGGGCCGAGTCGCTAAAACTACTTACGGGTACCTCCTATGTCCCTATTAGCTAATTGGCACTACCAACAAAAGGGTGCCTCCCCAAGGCCGGGTTTAAGAAAAACATTTTTCCCAAAACTTCTCAAATTCGTATTTCACCCTTCCACAATTCCAACACGTCTCTACACACCACTTATCATGATTTTAGAACAAATGTCATTAATACCATGTGGATGAAATGCACCATATGTAAACCATTCAACCTTACATCATAGTTTCTCAATCTTTAAAGCAAATCATGCTTGCAAAAACATCATTTAAATGGTCATAACATTATTTGATCAAAATTATAAACAAATAGCATGATATCACACTTTCTAGCATACATAAGTCCTAGGGTTCATCATTGGCACATTTAACCACAAATCGTTCACAATTATACACAAATTATACATGTAATCACTCATAGCTTAATCATTTAGCAAGTAGAACAACATGTATAAACCCTAGGCACCAAAGTAACCAACCAACATCAAATTTGCACATCAAAAGAGGGGAAAAACATGCAATTAGTTACGAAACTCAAGGAAAATAACAATTAGACAATTCTACCTCAATGAAGCCCAAAAGCCCCAATTTTCAAAAATCCTTCAAAGACCTCCAATTGAAACTTTGCTCCGATTAAATCGAAACTCTCGTTGAGCTCTCCAACTTTGTCTTTATGGCATAGATCGAATCCAATAGGAAGGGGTCCAAATTAAAGCTTAAAGTGTGGATTTTTGAGTTTGTAGAGAAAGAAATAGTTTCCTAGAGAGAGAGAGAGAGAAATTCGGCAGAAGGGGAAGGAAAATGGGTCAAAAATCTAACCTTGTGGCCTTTAGCCACTAACATAGTCAAAGTGGGTCCTGCTTGACCCTTAAAATGTCTAAAAACCCCTCTTTTTGCATATACACACCATATACATGCCACATTGTATAATTAAACACACAATCACATAGATACACTCCAATTAATAAAATATAGAATGTAATGAATCCAAAAAATAGCCCCGAGCACAAGAAATCCGAGCGTGGAGCCCACACGGAAACCTCCCGGACCAAAATTCTGAAAAATGGTAAAATGACTCGAAATGCATTTTTACGAATCCTAAACTCAAAGAAATGTTTTAATCAACTCTTGGGACTCACACGACAAGCTAAACAGTGCCCGACACGTAAAACGAGACAAAAAATAAATAAATATAGAAAATTAAAAAAATGCTAAAAATTTCGAGACGTCACAGTACGAACTCTATAAAACCTTTTTCACATCTTCTCTATTCTGGAATCAAACCATGAAAAAACCATTCTTCACACATATCATTGTAACCTTCTTCGACCACCAGCGTTCCACAAAAGTTTTAAAATGGTGATAATACAGCCTCTTACCCATAACATAATAATATAAAATTTGATATTTTGTATTTCAATGGCATTTTATGGTATTTATGTCATTTCATGTCAAAGTGTAAGGTTATTGAAGTCTTTTACCACAAAGAAATGGCAACTTAGTCATTTTCTAAATTTTTATTAACGACAGGAGGTGTCGTTAAACACACACCAAATCTCAGGCCAATTATAAATTGTATATAGAAAACTTGACATGTATATATGTACCAATATATATATGTATGTATGAATGTATACACATATACAAATATATATTTATCACAACTAAGAATCCTGTCAAATAAGTAGTTAACTTTCACTTTTCATATACCTTCCAAAAAAAAAAATTGACTTTTTCATACCTTTTTAATTATAGATTTTTTTTTTTTTTTATCAATTTTGATGGTGGCCACAACTCTTCCATAGATAGAAGGAGTGCAAGATAGATACAAGTTGGTCTATTTTTGGACAATGACATCCCCTTGTCAAAAATTGAATTCAAATAGTCCCTTAAAAATTATAAAAAGTTAATATTGCCCTTTAATATTTTATTAATTTAAATTATAAAATAACAAAACTCTTAAATGATACTTTTACCCTTATACACTCATTACACCTATATATATATATATATAAGTCTGGGTGGTGGATGTCGTGGCCGGCCGGATCTTTGGGGTTATACCCGATATCTCATTTAAACATATTCAATCCAAGGGTATTTAAGTCAATTGCATTTGTCAATTTTATATCAAAGGGTGATAAAGTTAATTCACTATTGTCGGGTGTCTTTAGCAATTTTATCGAACTTGAGAGATACCATTGTCAAAAAATAGACTAATTTGTATCTATCAATCCTTGTGCCAAAGTTTAGGGTGTTATTATACTTTACTCTTTTCATAAAGATAGTAAGGGATGGGCTAAAATAAAGAAACAAATAATATACACGAATGTGCACTGTGATTCAATGATAGACGTGTGATTTCAATTATGATTCTATGAAAGATAGATGGATAGATAGGAGTGGATAACATGAGTTTCTGAATGCCAATTGGTAATTCATAAGGTTCAATCGATACATCCTAATCATGGTGAATCTTTGGATTAACTAATTAAAAATATTTACCTTTTTACAAAAAATAAAAATTAACGTTGTTTAAATTTCCAATTATAGGTTAGTGTGTTAAATATAAATAAATAATCAATTGAATTTGAGACAACTTTTCGGAAAAGTGATGTTTAAAGGCGATGTTTAAATATTTACGTTTTGGGACAACTATTTCGAAAAGTCATGTCAAAATATGTGTTTCAAATTGTGACCAATTCTTTGATATAACTACTATTCGAAAAAGTCATGTTCAAATATCAATTATTGAAAAAAATAATTTGCACTTTAGAATAAACTCTTTGAGACACTTATTTGAAAAAGTTTATGTTTAAATTTTTTTAGAAATGAAAACATTAACTTTTTTTAAAAATGAAAGGTAACCTGATGAAAGACACAACTCTTTAGAAACTTGAAAAGTTACGTAAATATTTTTAAAATTAAAAAATGGCCTTAAAATGTATATAAATATTATAAACTCTACATATATTTATAAATAGATATATACATGGATTTAAAAGGATAAAGTAGATTGTGAGAAAACCATTGATTAATCTGACCTATAACAATAATCGTGTTGTTTATTTATGAGTTTGAAGTTCAAAACAAGCTAAAGAGGGGCTGGATTTGCTATGGAGAGACAGGTTGGATTTAATTTGTTTGCGAAGGTTGAGAGGGAAGAGAGAACTAGAGCAAAGAAATGGGAGAAAAGGGAGGAGAGATGAAATAATTTTAATAATTATTGGTAAAAATATCAATTCATTAGATTTTATCTATTTTAAAATTAAAATAATTGAGGTAAAAAAGTAATTTAATTGTATTTTTTTTACATCCGTGAGTGCCAAACTATTAAAGAGGGAGATCAATGCAAGAAATTTAAAAAATTTATTTAAATAGTATAATTAGACCAAACTTCAAGAAAGGCCGGTAAATCTAACCCTAAAGTTATTTTTTTAAGTTGTTTGAACCAAAAACAAATGGTCAAATGTGAATACGGTGTATTTCCTTTAGTTTAGAGAAGTGGAGGAGAAAAAAAAGGTTGACGAGGTTGTGTGGCTTCCTTCACATTGAAATTCTAAGACGGTGGAATTTTAATTTTTAAAAATTGCAGATTTTGTTTCAAATGGTTCGAAACGTTTGGAAGCACCGAATCGAAATTTTGAATTAGAATTGAAGAAAAATTAGTTATAACTTTGAATTAAATTCTTCAAATCCAATTTTAATTTCAAAGTATCGATTTTATACTCCCAAAAATAACATTACACATATAATTGGACAACTATATAGGGAAAATATATATATATAATCGGAGAACTAGTATGATCTTTGATTTCAATTTCTAGGAAAGCCTTCAAAAATCATGATAACCAATGAAATTGTGAGTCACTTTTGAGAAACTGTAATTCTTCAATTTGTGAGTCACGGTTCCTTAAAAAAACATTGAGAGAGTATATAGATAGAGAGGGGTGTTCGTGTGTATAAAGGTATAGATTTGTTTAAATTTGGTGCCATCCATGTCCAATTGAAACAATATAAGAGCAATCATATCATCAAGATTTATTTCATGACTTGTATCACACAAATTTCCCTTACGA